TAACCTCTCTGTACCTCAGATTTCTCATCTCTGTAATGAATGTCTTTCATGCTCCAAAGCTAACCTGCCCACCTCACCCCTACACACTTCTGCTCTGGACAGGACTTGGCCTTGCTATGCTCCATCTACCAAGTGGGCCCCCGGGGGCCCTACCCCTTGTAGGTGATGGTGAGAAAGACCCTGTAGGGCCTATGTTTATTAAATGAATATCTGAAATAAGCAGCACTCTACTCTGAAAGGCCTAGAACACTGTCAAATGCAGAATGGGGTCCAGTCACTGGGGCAACCCATGGGACGTGCCGGCACATTCCCTGCTTCCAGACATCCATGACCTGCAGCTACCATAGGCTCAGGCTGGGCACTGGGGCCAAGGGTGCAGAGCCCTGGGCCCTATCAGCAAGGCTCCCAGGCTGGAGGAGAGACAGACATGGAGAGTGACCTCATGGGGTAAGCAGGGCTGTGACTTGGGAAGGCCAGCAGCTGTGGGCACCTTGGGTGGGAGTCAGGGGCTGAGGATGGCACCTGTGATGATGCTACAGTTGGTGCCTGTGGTAAGCTCAATAATGGCCCCCAGAGATATCCACAGAGTCCCAGGACCTATGAATGTTACTGAATATGGCAAAGAGACCTCATAGATAGGATTAGGGATCTTGAGATAGGGAGATTATCCTGGATTATCCAGGTGGTCCCTAAGAGCAATCGCAAGTGTTCTTATCAGAGGGAAACAGAGGAAGATTTGACTACCAAGGAGGAAAAAGCCACCAGGTAAGGAAGGTGCAGGCCAGGGTAGTGTGGCCACAAGAGCACACTCTCGGCTCAGCGCCTGTAGCTCAAGCGGTTAAGGCGCCAGTCACATACACCTGAGCTGGTGGGTTCAAATCCAGCCTGGGCCTGCCAAACAACAATGACAACTACAACCAAAAAATAGCCGGGTGTTGTGGCAGGTGCCTGTAGTCCCAGCCGCTTGGGAGGCTGAGCAAGAGAACTACTTAAGCCCAGGAGTTGGAGGTTGTTGTGAGCTGTGATGCCACAGCACTCTACCCAGGGCGACACCTTGAGGTTCTGTCTCAAAAAAAAGTGCACACTCTCTACCTGTACATAGGAAGACCAGGATTCTCCCGCTAAGCACACCAGAAGACTCGGCTGAACTGGAGCCCATTAGACTCACATTGCACTTCTCACCTCTAGAATTGTAGGAGAATAAAAGTGTGTTGCTTTCAGCCACCAAGTCTGTGGTGATTTGTTACAACAGTGATAGGAGATGACAGCGGAATGAGGGGAGGCCACCCTCTCTCCTGCTCAGGAAGCCACGGAGTGGGGATGAAGGTACCACACCTTGAATTATTTCAGAGTACAATAAAGTCACCCCACACTTCTGGGTCTCTGTTACTGTTATTAGTAACAAATCACTTGGGCCCCCTCATCCTGACTGGCAGGAGAGGTCGCACAGCATGGGGGCCCCAGGGCAGGGGCTGACTGGGCAAGGCAGGCAGATCAGGCCCACAGGCTCTCAGCCTTCTGTCCACTGTGCCCTGGGCACACCCTGACAGTGAGGGTCAGCTGGGTACAATGGATGATCGGCTTCACTCTGCTCTGGCCACCAGCCCCTTCTCCCACATACCAGGCTCATACCCCACTGTGACAGACAACACAGCCCATGCCCACGGGCCACCAGGCCTCAGATGCTGCCACTCCATACCCCTACCCCTGGGAAAGCTGGGGGCCTCTAGAAACACATATCTGAACAATGTGAACGGGCAGCAGTAATTCAGGCCATTACAGGCTGGTAAACACACCCTCCATGACTTCCACGCCCCAGCCTGAGGGCTGACATCCTAAGACAACCTGATTTGAACCCCAAAGGGACTTGGCCCATTTTGCCTTGGATGAACAGAGAAAGGCAAGGCCCAAGGCCAAAAGTAATTCGGCAGCCCTGCCTAAACAAAGTGAGGCAGCCCCAGGGTATCTCCATCAACCCAGAGTAAGAGGCTGGAGAGGTGGAGCTGGGGCATAGAAGGCCCAGCCTGGGAGACCAGGCAGACAGAGCAAGGTTCTAAGCAGTGAGAAGCAGAAGATGTCTATGGGGACAGGGGTGGGGTGGGAGGGTGGCCAGAGGGGCTCCAAAGGCCCTCACAAGGCCTGAATGCATGGGGAAAGAAAGGGACCCAGGTGTAGTGAGGAGCCCAGCTGCAGACACAGCTAACTGGAAGGGAGCTGTAGACCCTGCCCGCTGCAACTGAAGGCCGCCACTGCCAGGCTTTCTGTACCACCTTCCCAAGGCATACTATGGGTTGCGCTCAGCTGCTCAGTCCCTGCTTCTCCCTCGGAGCCTTGGTCAGATGGAAAGATACAATCCTTCCAGGGCTGTGGCTAAGGGAGTAAGTAGCTCTCCCACTAAAGCCAAGAAGGGCTTCCATATCAATGGGAGAGGCTGTGGTCCCTTCCACCCTTCTCCCAAAGTTAGTGTCTACTTCCCTAAGGAGAGAACTAAGTGATGCTAATTGTTAATTACTATTAATAATAATGGCTACTGCTGGGCAGGTGGGAGGCCAAGGTGGGTGGATTGCCAGAGCTCACAGGTTCAAGACCAGCCTGAGCTGGAGCGAGACCCCATCTCTAAAAATAGCTGGGTGTTGTGGCGGGTGCAAGTAGTGCCAGCTACCAGGAGGCTGAGGCAAGAGAATCTCTTGAGCCCAGGAGTTTGAGGCTACTGTGAGCTATGATGCCAAGGAAAGCAATGAAGTAAGACTCTGTCTCAAAAATAATAACAGCTATCAAACACCATGTACTTGGCAAATTGCTTTCGATGACACTGTCTAATGTAGGGGTCCTCAAACTTTTTAAACAGGGGGCCAGTTCACTGTCCCTCAGACCGTTGGGAGGGCTGGACTATGGGCCCCGGGACGAGTCGGCTGCTAAGCAGGATAAGCAGTGGCAGCAAAAACACCCGGCAGGCTGAATAAATGTCCTTAGTGCGCTCCATGTGGCTCACAGGCCATAGTTTGAGGACACCTGGTCTAATGTAAACATCACCTCCCTCCAATCCCTGTTATTAGGCAGCCTTTGTACCCATTTCACACTCCAGAAAACTGAGACAGAAAGAAGTTCCCTACCTCAAGGTCATAGGCAGATAAGGAGATACAGAACCATCTTCTATAGGTAGGAGAGGCGGGGAAAACCCTCACTGTGCCCACTGGAGCTCCAGAGGGCTCCTGTTTGGGGACTAGGACTATAGGGATGTCCTGAGAAGCCTGCAGGGAATGCAGGGACAGAAAAAGCCAGAGACAGTATTGGTTTGGAGCAGTGTTCTGAATGGCACCCCCAAGAGCCCACAGGCATCTCACAACCACCCTGTCCAACTCTCACCTCCTCAACTTCCTTCAGACCTGCTCCACTCCCAGTGCTGGTCCCTATTTGAGATGGCCTCCACCCACCTCCCCAGTGCTGGGGCCCTGTACAGCCCCTGCCAGCCTCCCACCACTACACCCCTGCTCTTATCAAGGTCTCCCCTCACCTGCCAAGCCTAGACCTGGGGAGGAAGATAAGGAGAGCAGAGGGGAAGGGATCCTTCCCTGCAGTGGCCTCCTCCACCCGGGGCTCAGCAGTAGCCCACCCACTACAGCAGACAAGACAACCCTCTCAGACACACAGCTGATCCATTCAATCCCCAATCCACGACTAGCATTCACTTTCACACCTCGAAGCCTACTCTGCCCTGGGCTTAGTGGATTTTTTCGAGATCCAATCCTCAGACACAGATCAGTCTTTGGTCCTAGTGCTTGGTGGTGGTGGTGGGGTTATCTGTTGATCTATCCACCCCTGCTATCAGAAGAGAGGCTCCTCAGTGCAAAAAAAAAAAAAAAAAAAAAAAACCCACCAGACAGCAGCAGCTGGGCCCACCCTACCAATGCCCGGTTCCTCAGCTGGCCTCAGCTGAGGCCTCCCCACCCCCACCCTAGGACTCTGGGGACAGGAGCAAGAATAAGCCCAAGGACCTGGGAGGTCTAAAACCTTCAGAACACAGTGCTTTCCCTAAGGAGGTCTCATACTCAGAGGGTTGGCTGAGCCTCACCCTCCCAAGCCATCTCTTCCAAGAGGTCTGCCCAGATCTCTCCCTCCCTAGAATCTCTAGAATAGTTGCACTCAGCACTTCTCTCTCTCCAATCTGGGGCAAGGAAGAGATTCTGGCTTCACAACCAAGTGAACCCGGCTTCAATTCAGGCTTAGCAGCCTTGAGAGGGCAGTTCACTTCACCTATCTGTGTCCCACTCTCCTTCATCTGGGCTGAATCCCAACACGTGGACTGAAGCCAGGCGAGAACTTGGCACCTGTTAATGATCTTCTGTCCTACTTCACCTGGGGTCCCCTGGGCCGAGCCCAACCCTGAGAGATGGAGGTGGGAACCCGGGCAGGATCAGAGAAGGCAAAGATCCATTCTGTCCCAAATCCCCCGCCCCCACATGCCCTGCAGCCAAGGAGAAAGGGCCCCTTTCACCTGGCGAGGAGGGCCGGTAAGAGGCACAGGTTCTCTCAGCTGGGGCCTCGGCCCTGCCAGCTTCCTTATGTCCGAGGTTAAGGGACCCATAAGCGGTTGGGGGATTGACTGAACAGAGGAGCTAACGGGGGTACAGTAAAGGGGAATTTTAGGAGGAGGGGAAGAGACAGTCAAGCCCCAGGGTTAAGAGCAGCCCACCACCTTAACACAAGGAAAATGACTCCGGAGCTAGCTGGGGGAAGCTGACAAGGCCCCTAGCCGCAGCGTAGGGTGGGGACCAGCCCCGGGGCGGGGGCGGATTCTAGCCCCCCAGCCCCCGCCCCCTGGGCCTCCAGGCCAGCTAACTTCCTTCCCCACCCCACCCCCTGCCCGCTGGATGCGCAGCCCCCTACACAGGTCCGTGCTTCCGAGGTACTCTCCGGGTTGCGCTGCACCCGCACACACACCTCCGAAACACACACAAACGCGCGCTCGCACACGCCTCCCTCCGCGCCGCGCCTCCTACCTGCCGCGCCGCCGCGGGCCGAGCTGCTCTCCAGAGATGCCGGACACCGCGCGGGCGCTGGGGCGGAGGCTGCACGGGCCTCGGACTCAGGCGGGAGATGCAGCCAGGACTAGCCTGGGGCGGGGGCTCAGGCTCGGATTCCCCGGGTTCGGTTCGGCCCCGCCCGCGCCTCCGCCCATTTGGAGACAGAGGCGTGGCCTCCGCGGGCGGGTGGGCGGGGCTGCGCGCATGCGGGCTGGAGCCGCGCCGTGGGGCGAGCGCGGGGAGGTGGCGTCTGCTCTAGCTGAGAGGTTCTGGCCCTTCTCTGCGTGGTTTGGTCACCGGTCTTCCTCTTTCCCACCCGAGCTCTGTCCGCGGAGGTGGAGCGGTCCTGTGGGCAACACCTGTGAACTGCCTGCTCAGCAGGGGATCGGGCCGAGGCGCAGAATAGGGCTGACCGTGGGCGCGCACCTTGTGCTTACTGGGGTCGAGGCCGGGTGGCTGTGAAAAGGACTTGATGAGGCAGGCGCCCCGCTTTTCTCGGTCTCCTCTTACATCCGCCCTCAAGGTTTTGGGTGGAGGAAGAGGAACCCAGGCCCCAGTGAGACACAGAGAGGGCCCTTGTGGTGCTGTGTTGGACTGTAGCAGGAGGGGGCTGAATCCCAAGCTCATACTTGACTCTCTGGCTCCCAGAATGCCTTAGAAAGGCACCGAGCTTGAGTCTTTTAATCTGTAAGATAGGGCTGTGTGAGAAATATGACACAGAAGTCTTATGGATGACTAGTTCTGGCGTGCAGTTGGAGTTTGGTACCTGCTGGCTTGCTTCTTATCAGCCCACTTTGCAGGTGGAGAAACTCAGGCCAGCTCATCTCCCCCCTTCAGTTCCCATGTCGTGATGTCATCCATCTCTCAGTGACCCAGACTTCTCTAGGCTCTCCCCTCACCTCACTGCCTGTCCCAGGCTGCCCAGATGTTTCTCTGCTGAGTTGCTCTAGCCCCCTTGGGAGCCTCCTATTCAGCCAAGGAGCACTTTCAAACGCTGCCACCCACAGAATGGTGTTCCAAGACTGCGCTCCCAGTCTCCCCTAACCCAGCCCCCAGCACCTCATTTCAGGGGCTCTACTGTACTCCCCGACCTCAAGCCTCCTTTTTGCTGATCTGCTGTCTGTCCCCACCCACCAACATGTCCCCCCTTCTTTAGCATCCCTACCCACCCCTCTGTGGCCCTCCCCTCTGGCTTCATCTCTGAGTTAGTGGAGGGGTCCTGCTTCCCCTGTGAGGCTGAGGCTTATTCTCAGGAAGACAGCAGCACTTGGTAGAGCCAAGCAGATCTGGGTTCCAGCCCTTGCTCTGCCATTTACTGGCTGTGTGACCTGCTCAAGTCCTCTATCCCTTCAGAGCCTCATTTTCCTTGTCTATAAGATGGCTCCCAGCTGAAGTGTGTGACGATCAGGTACAGGCAAGAGCCCCATCCTGCAGGGTACTGGGCAGCATTGCCTCTGGGCTAAGCAAGGTAGAGCTGGGGTCATGTCTGAGAGACATGTCTGCCTCAGCCCACATAAGGGGAAGGGGGCTCAGAGGATGCTCAGACCCCTTTCTGTATCTCAGTGTTGGAGCCACAAAGGGGTGTTGTATGGTGTTTGCAAGTGTGGACCCTGCCTGGGCTCATAGTAGCTGTGTGATCTTGGGCAAGTGACCCACCCTTGCTGTGGCCTCAGTCACCTCACCTATAAAACCAGCAGAGTAGCATCCTCCCCATGGAGCTGTCCTGGGATTAAATGGGTCCATCCATATAGGCCCTTTGCTTAGAGTAAGAGCTCAGCATGTTAGCTGGTGTTATTTTCCTTTAGTCCAACCACCTCATTTTGTGAAAACACTGGCTCCTAGAAGCAGAGACACATACACGTGGCTGGTTAGAATCCCAGGCATCCTAGATTGTTAGGGGTGGAAGGGCCCACTTCACAGTTCATGTCTGGCAGCTCCACCCTACCTGCCAGGTGAGGGAAGAGACCCAGAGAGTCCAGGGTCCCTAGTCTGGTGGGTGGAGAGCCATTGAACCTGCTCTTGGGGTAAAGGAGAGGGTAAGACGAGCCATGGGGAGCCAGGTGTGCCCATCATGTCTGAGGAGGTGGTAGGGCTTTGATGATGCTGTGCCCTAGGATCCTCCTGGTCAGTTTTTTATGAACTGAGTCATCTGATGGTGCCATTACAAGGCCTGAGGTATAAGTGTTTTTCCCAATTAATTCTCACAACCATGTTGTGCTGGAGCCTTTATTAGCCCATTTTGCAGATGACAGAACCCAGCCTCAGAGAGATGCCAAGGTCACACAATTAGTAATGATAGAACTAGTATTCAAATCTACCCTGTTTGACTCCACTCTTGTGCCCTTGTGCCCTTTCCCTCCCTCTCCCCCATTTCCCTAGGAAAAGTCCACTCTGCAGGCCTGTTGACCAATTCCTCAACCTCTGCTTAGATCCCCCTGTGACTGGGCACTCATTTCCTCTCAGAAGAGCCCTGTCCCCTCCACTTGGTAAGGTCTTTTAGCTGGCCCCTCCCACCTGGGTCTGCAGGATTCTATTCCCCCCACCCTACCAGAGCCTGGAGACAGACTCTTCTCTGCGCCAGGCCTATTTTTATTGCTCCTGTGTGTAACAAGGTTTCACAGGATAAACCTATAATAATTTTGTTTACGAAAAAAAAAACAACAGGAGATTTAATCACCAGGCCATTGTTTGAAAACCCTAAAGTAAGCAAGCCCCTTGGCCTAGGTTGTAGCACCAAGTGCTCCTAACATCTGGTGTCTTGAGGTTAGATATTAAAATAATCATGTCATCTAGTTCCTCCTGTTCCCATCTAGCTAGCTCGGGCAACGGGTCAAGATCGCAGGGAGAGAAGTCCAGCCAGACACACAGAACTTTCAGCTGGGAGTAATTGCTAATGGTGCTGCCCTGAGTGGTCAAGAAATGGAAGGGTCACACTGAACTCTGAGGCAGAGCAGATGTCATGGCAAATGAGATATGAGGCAAAAATGACCTTTGAAGTGCTTTCAATTTCATTCTTCTCTCAAATATTGCTTATATACAGGATTTTATTACTATTGTGGATATTATTTAAAAACAAGCCAGAACCAAGATGGATTTATCCTAGGAATTCAAGTTTGGTCTAATGTTAGGAAATGTATTTAATGTTACAATACTCCATTAGCAGTATTGTATTGGTTTCATGACAAAGCACCACAAACTGGGTGGCTTAAACAACAAAGATTTACTGTCTCACAGTTCTGGATGCTAGAAGTTCAACCCATCAGGGTCGGTTGCTGCTGTGGGACACAACTCAACCTATAACAAGCATGCTAAGGAACCTAAGGGGAAAATCATATGATTTTCTCTATAAATGCTGAGAAAGCGTTAACAAAATTCGAGGCCCATTCACGATAAAAGCACTCAGTAAAGTAGGAATTGAGGGATACTTTTTTAACATAATAAAATATAGTTCTAAAGACAGCATCTTATTTAGTCAAAAAACACTGGAAGCATTTCCACTAAGATCAAGAGCAAGGGAAGAATGCCACCATCTCTAGTACTATTCCGTATTGTACTAGCAGGATTAGCCACTGCATTTAGACAAAAGATATCAATGGGAGGCCTGAGAGTTGGTAGAGAAGGAATAAATGTATCTGTTTTCAGATGATATAAAATGATACCTGAAAAACCCCAGAGTTTTGGTGATAAAACTTATTCAAACAGTAGAAGAGTTCAGTGATGAAACAGGATATAACATTAATCTATGAAAATTCCATAGCCTTTATGCATACACTTTCACAAGAAAATTTTTTAAACATTCTTGAAAGACACTAAAGAAAAATAAATAGGACACTATCCTTTGTGATTGGATAAGTCAACATTATAAAGGTGTGCCTAGCACTTGATGAGGCTAAGAAGGAAGAATTGGTTGAGGCCAGAAGTTCGAGACAAGCCTGAGCAAGATGGAAACCCAGTCTCTACTGAAAGAAAGAGAGAGAGAAAGAGAGAGGGAAGGAAGCAGAGAGAGAGAGAGAGAGCAGAGAGTGATGGTTCACACCTGTAGTCCCAGCTACTTAGAAGGTTGAGGCAGGAGGATCACTTGAGCTCTAGAAGTGTGAAATGGAAGTGAGCTATTATCAGGCCACTGCACTCCAGCCTAGGTGACAGAGCAAGACTATGTCTCAAAAGATAATAATAATAATTTTATATATGTGTGTGTGTGTGTACCTGTGTGTGTATATATATCGGTTCTCCATAAGTTAATTTTTAAATTCCATGTAATCCCAATAAAAATACCAGCAAGCTATTTTATGAAGATAGATAAGTCAATACTGAAGTTTACATGGAAGAACACAAAGGAAAATACTGGAAAGGAAAAACTAGGAGGGGAAGCTAGCCTTACCAGACATTTAAAAAATAAAAGCTTCTGTGATTAAAATGGGGTGGGACTGATGTACAAAATGGGACTACATCAGGGACTACAAAATTCAGAATTAGACCCCAATATATCTTTCTCCCAGTGATTTGAGACGCTACCTTTGTTACACACTAAAGATAAATAAACTTTATAATAAATGTTGCTGGGACAACTGGGTAGCCATTTGGAAAAAGGCAAAATTAGATACATATGTTACACTGTCTTAGTCTGTTTCCTGTTGCTATAAAGGAAGACCTGAGGCTGTGTAATTTATAAAGTAAAAAGGTATATTTGGTTCATGATTCTGATGGCAGGAAAGTTTGGGTATTTGCTGGGGGCTTTGGGCTCCTTCCAAGGTGAAATGTAGCTGGCGTTTGCAGAGATCACATGGCAAGAGAGAAAGAGGGGAAGGTGTACCAGGTTCCTTTTAAAAACCAGCTCTCTCAGCAACTAACAGGGAGGGCGTTAATCTTTTCATGAGGGATCCACCCCCCACCCCCGTGATCTAAACACTTCCCGTTAAGCCCTACATCCTACACTGGGTATCAAATTTCAATATGAGTTTTGGAGGGGTCAAACATCTGAACCATAGCATACACCCAACAAAAGGATAGGCTCTACATAGATTAAGGATCTAAGTGTAAAAAACGAAATCATATATCTTAGCTCAGGCTGTTAGAACAAAATACTGTAAACTCCAAAATCAATAG